TGATGAGCGGAAAATTGTTATTTTCGAGGATATAAAATAAGCTTGGGTCTTTTAATCTGTAAGGATAAACAACGCATCATCGTTATTACGTCAAGAAATAATGAAATTAGGAAGCCCGTTTTTTAATGCGGAATTCAAATCAAACCTTAGCAGTTAGCACCGTGTTCGAGTCTTCACTTTTCTTTTTCTACCCTGGAACATGAAAGGAAGTCTCGCGGTTCAACATGTGTACAAGCTAAGATGTGGCCTGTAATTTCTAGGACGCTCGTGGCAGTTCTTTAACTGAAGAAGTATGTTATCACAGTTTTTAAAGTTATGGACAAAATTTCGTGCAAAATGTCACGTCTAAAGCACTCGATAATAAGATCTAATTTCAAGGATACAATTATGCCTAAGCCAACTAAATAAGACAATGGAGTCGAATGGTTCTAACCGCAAAACCTTCTTTTGCAAATATCATCACTCATATGCTTTAAAGATGATTTATTTTTTACTTACCACCTATCACTCTTCCACCCAAATTTCTTCCAGATGCAAAAATGCCAGAAGTAGGTGCTGCAAGAAGATTATCGCAAATTTATTTCAATGTTTTTTTTTTGTGTGTGTGGGCGCATGTATATAATCAGCAAGGGGTTTTTTAAATACACTGAGGGTCAACCGAAACTAGTTAGATCTTAGAGTCTTAATTATCCTCCACTACCTTTGCTCCCCATATGCGCCCTTTTCCATTGATAAAAATCACAAGAGGTAGATTTTACCTTTTTTTCTTTTGAGTTCTTCTTCTTCATTTATGCGCTTCTCGAATTCCTCTATCTCCGTTAGGAGGTCTGGTTTTCCAGTTTCCCTCAGTATTTCTATTAGAATATCGAGACGGTAAAATTCCAGAAAGTTTTGGCTCTCCAACTCTTTAAACAAGCTTCTGACATCTCGAATTTTCGTTTCAAAATCAAAAGACGTTTTTGTTTTGCATATCCTGAGCAAGTGTTCTAGTTCATTGCTCTCGCCGCAGTCGAAAACTCGGATCACTTTTTCAAGTAAATTGCTGTATTTTTTTCTTTTCACCTCAAAGTTTGTAACTTTTTTCAACAGGGACCATTCTCCGACCTCTTTAAGAAGCTCCTTTAAATCTCCCAGTTGATCAATTTTCAAGAAATTCAGGTGCCCGAGTTCCTCGAACAGAGATCGGGAATTGTTTATGTCTTGAACGCCACGTGTCAATTTCTCTCTACACATGAACATGAGTTGTTCATGTACACTGAGCTGGTCCAGATGCCGGCCAATCACAAAAAGCATATTATTATACTCAATTCTAGACATTTTCACCAGCAAAGTTGAAAGCCTGAAATTTGAGCCTACTCAAGGACATTAAGTGATGAGGGTACTGTCTGCGGTTTAGTAGGCGCGTTATGTCTATATCGATACTGCACATACCAGCACATACCAAGGATTCCGGAAACCGCAGCCTCACGGAGTAAAGCTTTCTTTTTGTCTAAAGCAAAGTCAGAAATCTTACAACTGTGGCCCTAAAGCCCCGGATACAAGAGGGTTCTCGTGACCAACTTGAAGGAGCCGTTTTGGTAAGTTTTTGCAACTAAATGAACAAAGACTGTAAACGGTTTTGTTAATTTATGGTGCAGAAGTGAAAATTGAATAGAGCATAAGTAATCCAAGGACTCATGCCCTCAGGGGTGACTATTTTAAAAGTATAGCTATGTGATCTTTGAATATTTTGTCACGTGCGCTGTGAAAGTGGTGCAAAGGTTGCAACGTAACTGAACTGCTTAGTTTGCAATGATGTATCAAATCATTGAATATGGCTAAGAATTAGTCGGGTTGCAAGAACGCCGTAGAGCAAGTGAGCAAGGACAGAAATGGTGCAAATACAAATGTGACGTGTTGGGACAAAGGGGCAAAAAGGGGCAAAGTTCTCAGGTGTTGAATTTATATCAGTGGACTGAATTGAAAGATTGGGTCGATGGAATTTCATCGAACCAGATCGGTAAGGCAAATGTAGATTCAGGATGGTGAAACGTAGAAAAGGTATCGAAATTAATGGAACTCGATTGTTTCTCGAAACGTCTATTTGCGAAAAAAACCATAGCTCCGGACATAAGTTTCCCGTATTGTTTTAACAGATAAATGTCAAACGGAGGTGAATAGTGCTCGTTTATCACTTCCGAACTAGCCAATCAGCGCGTGCAAAAAGTACTTTTCATCTGTATGATATATATACATCAATTAACAATTATTCGCCGAAGACGAAGAAAGTATTGTTGAATAATCTCTTAGACGAGATATAGTATAATAATATGGTTCAGATACTTTCGAATTCTGTTGTAATTTCGTTTCGTTGTTGACACCGTTCTGTCAATTATTTTTATCACTCGTATTTTTATCACTCGTATCGACTAGAATTTAACAGATTTATTTAATTCAATCAGCAAAAACATCTTTCTTTTTAATAGTATTACGCCAAAGTTAATAGCATCTTTTGCAATCTTCGGATTGAATTTTCCTTACTACACTTACTTAACTTTTTATTTAAGGAGGGAAGCGCAATAACCTATCACAATTTTCTAACCTGCGGCCCTCACACCCACCCCACCCCAGGGGAGCACATCCATCACACAGTAATCTCGTGCGTGGGAAATTAACGTCTCCTACTTCCTCGGTGACATTGACAAAAAGCAAGGCGGTCACATTTTAAAATTTAGTGCTCTTGACTGCTATAATCACCTCGCGTGAGATGATTGTAGCGAGATATGATGCAATCCTCTTCCAATCAGAGTGCACACAACTTTATCATCACCCAAGCAATACTCAAGCACAATATTATGATAATTTTTAAGATATTATCATAATGATTGTTAGAGAACAGAAGACAAAGTAACTAACCATGTATAACCTTCTCAAGCTTCCGTCTTTCAGGTTCACGCTGTGATCTTCAAGACGATTGGGATTAACATCAAGGGTTTCACACAAGAAATCAAGAACAGCTTGATCCTTGTAAAAGCCCGAAATTTTTACGCCAGCGAAGTCTGTCCCTTTGTAAGCCTGGGAGAAAAAGAC